ATGCTTCCAGGCTTGGCAGCGGCGCTGGGATCGTTGTGTTCACTCCCAGGGGAAATAATTCGAGGGTGATGGATGAATTTAATACCTGAGATAAGTGTACGGGTTTTTATACGCGCAGTCTGGAAACTTTCCGATCGCACCTCGTATATCGTACAGACACCTAATTTTAAGACTTTACTCCCTTGGACAAATAAAATAATTAGTAAATGCGAGGATCTTAGATGGATTATCTGATTAGTGGCTAGGTGGACGGACGGAAGTTTGCATGGATAAACAGAAATGAGTGTACCTCGGGCAAGAAAATAAACTCCCTTACGACCAACGTCAAATTACTTAAATTGGAAGCGACTGAGTGGCTTGAAACACCTCCATGCTGTTTCTATGAATATGCGAGTGGTTATATTTTTAGTGGAATTGAAGTTTGAAAAAGACGTAGGAAAATATTCCGCTCACGGTAGACGTCGGTACAATTACATATTCTTTATCAGATGATTACTTTATTATGAGTAAGGAAAGGAACTGAGATTTTATTTGAAAGATGATGACGTCGAACAAACCGTGTATATAACGCAGAGAGTGTCAGCTTTGTCGAGCAGAATTCTGAAGGATTCTCACGCAGAAACATCCAGGGTAAGTTTCATTTACGTTCAGAATTTTTAGCATAATCAGAGGAAAATATTTCTACTTTTAACTTTAAATTTTTAAATTTATGAAAACATTAAAATTTAAACATTTGTAATATTGTAAATTTTTCGCATTAACCAAATGTAAAGGCATTTAGGATGCCGCTGATTGTGGTCTCATGAGGGCTGAAACGCGTGTGTCTATATAATATAACTACTGTTTCCGTCATCAAATTGCATGTTTTAAGGTCACAGTGAAATCGTATAACATTGTAGTACGAACATCCGAGCCTAAGTGATTGAAGACAGCTCAGAACTTCACAGCTATAGCTCACGCCCTTATCAGATCACGTTCAGAAATAATCTTAGCCGTTTTACGCTACGTTACGAATGCAGTCGAAGGCGTCACTTATTAAATTGGGAACAAATTCAACCTTGCCATGATAAAGAGCACAAGTCCACAAATTTCGACAAAAATAAGATTGCTACTTTACAGTCTAAAATTTTTCATTACCTATAATTTAGCAATATCATCACTCCAGCCTTACGCTCATGTGTAAATTTCGTAATTATATTAATAACAATTTTTGAAAGAACCAATATATATTATGCATTAAAACTTACGGAAAATTTATTCTTTTTTTTATAAACATTCAGGATCTAAACCTTAACCCTGTCATCAGCGAATTACGCACAGTCTCCTCGAAAAGTTGGTTCTGATTTAAGTCGTCTTTACAAAGTTTTATCTGGATAAATTGATTTTAAATCTCATTAGTGATACCTACGTAAAAGAAACGCGTGACTGGGTTTGTGAAATTCACTGAAGCCGAAGCTCGTCTAAATATTATTTAATAAATCAGCCCGTACCGCGAAGAAAACACAACGCTTCACCATTACTACGATCAACTGGTTGATGCTGTTTAAGGAAATAATCCCTTTTTACACTGAAAACAATCCGAAACCTATACAAACAAAACGCAGATTTATTAACTGTGTGAAGCAGGTGGTACATATAGTTACCACTGGGTCTTAAAGGGTTAATGTCTCTCTTAATATTTTGCTATGTCTAAGGACCTTGCGTAGTTTTCCTTTTGTAATGATTGACCGTCTGTAAAATTTAAAGAACAGATCCATGTAGCAATATGACTGACGAATGAATTTCTGTTTAACCCTTTGAAGACGAAGCTCGTCTAAATATTATTTAATAAATCAGCCCGTACCGCGAAGAAAACACAACGCTTCACCATTACTACGATCAACTGGTTGACGCTGTTTAAGGAAATAATCCCTTTTTACACTGAAAACAATCCGAAACCTATACATACAAACGCAGATTTATTAACTGTGTGAAGCAGGTGGTACATATAGTTACCACTGGGTCTTAAAGGGTTAAAATTAAGATATTTTTCCGTGATTTTAATTTTTGCACACAATAAACACGTGAACACACAAAAGCCATGCTTCTAGTCATTACTCTGTGAATCCTTCATCAGACATGTGGGAAAATGGCCTCTTTCGACACCCAAGTTTCGACAGAATTACAAAAATTAAACGGACCTTAAAAACAGTTCGTTTTATTGTGGATTAGATTAAACTGGCTAAGAATAGGGCTCACTGGTGGTGTATCCTGTGAACATGGTAATTGAGCTCTGGATTCTACAAAATGGGGATATGTAATTTCTTAACAAGCTGAGCGACTGTCAGCTTCTGAAGGCCGTCTAAGTCTTGTGGTCGGTATCGACATTCGCGATTTTAATATCACGTTAATGACTCGTTAACTGATTGGATATTTAAGTATACTTTCTAATCTTCTTACGCTTTGTAGTGTGAAATTGCTGAAAAATTGTGTTGGATTTATGAATTTTAAGGATGTTGAAAGAAGCAGATATGCCCAATTTTAAGTTAGTATCCAAAAAAAATTTAACTCGAGTTTATTAGACGTAAATTACGCTATATTCTTGGTGTCATTTATTCTTGTCTGGGGAGGCAAGTTTCTCCGATTTAGGTAGATCTTTGTTTCAGATGAGGACCATCTTGTTACGTTTGACGGTCATCGGAATGATTTGCTCGTGGGCATTACCCGACAGTCAGTTGGGTGTGCGGAAGAGAGAGACGGCGTACAGATACTGTGGTCCAAACCTCGCCAACATCTTGAGGCTAATTTGCAATGGCTCTTACCACACCGACGAGGACTGGAAAAGAAACGGTGGCTCCATCCAAAAGAAGCAAGAACACGGTACAGCAAATCTTATGACAATCTTCGAGTCTCTCCAAGAATCTCATTACTTGGTCTGCTGTTTAATTAATATCCAACTAACTAACTAGATGGCTTACCGAACCCGAAGGTTCATCACCGAATTAACCAAAGCCCTCCGCCGGACCCTGTCCTGGGCCAACAAAATCCAGTCTCCTTCAACTCCTATCTCCCATAGATCCCGCCTGAGATTATCCTCCCATCTACGTCTAGGTCTCCCCAGAGGTCTCTTCCCCTCAGGCTTCCCAACCAATACCCGGTGCACACCTCTTGTCCCATCCATGCGCGCTACATGCCCAGCCCATCTCAGTCTTCTCGACTTAATCACCCTGACAATATTGGGGGTTTAATTAATATCCATCATGTTTAATTTCAGATAAGGAACTCGATTTTTGGACTCCTCCAGAAGCCGCAATGGAACAGTTCCCGTTCAGAACCTGGTGGATGGCAAACCAGTTCTCGAACAGAGTCTTCCGCCGCCAGAGAAGAGACGCTGGAATTGTCGAGGAATGTTGTGTGTTCAAAGGCTGCACGATCAGCGAACTGTCCGAGTATTGCGCTGAAAGTTAGACGGCGACATAGCCAGCAATTTTGACAATCGCTGCGGTTTGTGACCAGGTCTAATCGGAAAGAACCAAAGCTGGTGTTATGACGCATTTGTAATTAAATAAGCTTATATCATACGTTTTCTTATATTCTATCCACAATTAACTGAACATTAAATATATCCTGTTATCGTTAGTTTCATTGCAAAAACATCGGTAATTAAATTAATGCCTTCATCGCATTGCTCTACTCCTTTAGTGCCAAACAATTTTACATTTATGAGTTGCTATTAAACAATTATTCTTTATTCTTCGTTTCCTTTTCGCTTTCTGAAGTAAAACGTAACAATTTTAACCCGAATTTCGCATCTCATGTTCCTTAATTTGATACTGGCTAAGATTACTACAATAATAATTATTACGTAATTTTTGTCAACTATTAATATATGATCTTAGGATGAGAAACGAAGCTCATACCAAGACAAAACAATACGAATAAGAAGGACCGATTTCTCCTCGACCTACGCTCTGTCGAGACCCTAGCTTTGAGACTCCCAATTAACCCCTTCTCATTCCTCATCAATGATTGGCCCAATTCCTCAGTTTTCCTTCTTCATCAAAAAAAATTAATAAATAAAGATGTCCCACTATACGCCACTTTCCAGCATCGCCGAACTCATGCGCCTACTAGCGCCCAAATCGACTGACCGAGAGCTTCGACTCAAAGAAAAACTTGTGTGGGGAACCACTTGTTCCGGCAAATCGGGAGGCACTTGTGGCCGAACGAGGGCTGTCAGAGGTCACCAGAGATCAACCGAGGGGGGCTGATGGTCAGTTCGCCAGCCGAGGTTGTCCCTAAAAACGAGTACAATGAACGTAATATAAACGTGTCTCTGATATCTGCCATTGCATGACAATAATTCCAAATCTAGTATTATATGCGATATGTATTGTATTCAACTATTAATTTTTACACAATATTTCACATACATTTCGTTCTAGAAAGCAACTTCTGTAATTTCAAATTTCATCACTAATTCTCTGGAATTATTTACGTTCTAGATGATTCAGTATTTTCATAAGAATTTGCGTAGTTTCATCAAATTTTGCCTCGAATTTCTTCTCCAGATTTCCTTGGCGAGAACGCAATGCTGACAATTCGTCCGCCATGTCGCTCCACACATTCTGAGCATCGCGAGATTTTCGTTTCTTGCTGATGATAAGTAACGCAGAATGAACAACAGCGGTGTCTAATGGCTTTGGCCTGTCTGGATGTATCACTAACGCCTTGTCCGTCACTTTCTCAGGTGCCAAGAATTCCGGGAGTTTATGAAGTAATTCTTCGATTTTGGAAATCAATCTGACTCTAGCTACAATACTCAGTGTTTCCGCGTCCTTTCTGATAACTTCCGTGTCGTTTACAGCCAGACCGTTTAGTAGATTCAGTAAGACAGTCGCCACTAGGAAAACGAACAGCAAAAATATCACGTGACTAGTAAACGGCAAGATTTGAAAACTCAGATTTGAAGCTTCGAGTTCACCTGTGAACATGACAACTGTTTTCAATATCGCGAGAAGTGGATTAGAGAACATGTCTCCGTCATCCGATCCTGAGTTTCCTTTGAAGAGAACGTAAAAGCTGAGGGCGAATGCTATCAGCAGGAGAACGTAGCTCATCATAAACCTCAAAAACGTCCGACTGACTGTTTTGAGCATCTCCAGTTGGATTGACAACAGTGGGAGTTGCCCTGACAGAAGTACCAGCTCCAACCATGCCAACAGGATGGCGACGGCAGAGAAGTGTAGGTTGACCTCCACGTTCTGTACCACACCGGAACACGATATCAGCGTGGAAGTGACCAGTAGTAGTTCCAGCCAGTTTTCCATTGACAATATGTACACACTACCATATATAATGAGCTGGAACACCTCTCTCGCAGTCAGCAAACCCAACAAGATCATAATAGGATACCACAAGTACTGAGGATTGTTATCACCCATCGCGTATCTCAGAATTCTTCTATATGTTAAATCAGATGAGAAGTTTAAAATGGGAGCATAACTGGTTGTGTTGGCAACACCTTCGTCGATTAATGTGTCGTATGATTCGGAAAACAAGATGTACGCGCTCAAGAAAAGCACAAATGTAACATAGAAGGCCACGTCTATAAAGAAAACCAGTCTGACTTGTCTCCATTTTAAACTCACGAAACTAGTTATAACCGGGTGTCGCAGTAGGTCTCTAAGACGTGAGCTTTCCGCCAGGTAAGGCACCATTTTTGCAAGAAAGTCGTATCTGAACGTCAATGTGCAGTTGTTAATCGTCAGCGAATCGCTGTTACTTTGCAAACATTCGTCCAAAATTTCCTCCAGAAATGAGGCACTGACTGTTGACAGGATTGAACTGCCATATTTAGATGCCATGACGTCAGCGCCGTAAGTCAGGAACAGGATTACCCTATCCCGAAACTCCCGTTCGACAGCGAAGCGTAGAGCAGTGTTCCCGGACCCATCTAGATCGTCGATATTCACTTTGCGATCGGATTCTGGACCCAGAAGAATCTCTAAGCATCTCTCCAGCCTCTCCCTGTCTCCTGGTTTACAGCCACTGATCCGAGCCAGCCAATGAAGGATTGTCCGGTCATCACCATCTCTCAGGCTTGAATCTATGTTCTTCTGTTTCAGTAATATCTCCAGGACGTTCAGATTTCCACTCCGAGCAGTCGCAATTAGCAGGGGCACATTGGTTATAGGATGCTTCAAATTTGGATCTGCGTTATTTTGTAGAAGCAATATGACAAACTGTTCACGTTTCTTCATCTGGCAAGCGATTTCTAAGAGACTAGAATGATAAGGTTCATCGTACCAAGGGTTAGGATTAGATGAATCGAGATTCTCGCTGAAGATGCTGTATTTCTCGTATTGTAGAGCAGCGAGCAATTTTTTATTCTTGTCAGGTGAATCCAGACTCTCTCGTTGAGGTGACGGAAGAATTGACTGTAATTCTGGAAATCTCTTGATTATAATCTCCCTCACAGTAGATTCGCTGTCTCCTGGGAAGTAATCAAGATGAAATCGAAAGGCTGATGGATGCTTCAACATCTGCTCGACGCATGTCTTACCAAAGAGGTCTACAGCACGTCCGATTGCAGTATATCCTTTCCTGTTTGGGATGTTTAGCTCCGTAAGAGTATTCCTCATCAAAATATCAATGCACTGGTAGAATCTGCGATCTCTGTCGTCCTTTCGACAAGCGGACGTGACAGCGTGGTACAAAGCTGTGTTTCCTTTGCTGTCAGTTACGTTAACTTTAGTTCTAGAGTCGGCGAGCAACGCGGACAGTAGTTTAAAGTTACCTGAGGTCGCTGCCCAAAATATCGGCCTCCAGTCACCCCACCTTATTGAGTCGCCATTAGGATCACCGCCGGCTTCTAATTTTTCCTTGTATTCTTCAATTTCCTCGTCGGTTACAGGTTTCATCAGACTGTCGGTGAGAGAACGTACCGTGCGAAGCCTGGATGGTTGATTCCGAAACCTCACTAGTTTCTCCAAAGGATTCCTTTTCTGGTACTCACCGGAAGAAGTCCTCTCTGCCACTTCCTTAACTTCCATGGCACTTACTGTACGCTTCTGTAAAAAGTACACGCGAACGCAGATTATTTAACGATAGTTCATTGACCACCGATTTAAACCAATTTCAAAGGTAATATTGTATAAATATATGTAAATATCGACACGTAATGAAACCCATAAACGCGTAAGATGATTAAAACTTACTTTATCACAGCGTCCAAAAACGGTACTTGAATTGACTGGATGTTGAACTTTAAACCTCATGATATTAATTTATTTCTCAAACACAAATACCGATCTATAAGAATCAGGGGAGACTTGAATGCACTATAACTGCATAAGACACGTAGTCTGAAACAAATTCCTACGAATAATGGAGATGGAGCAAACGAGGAAAAGAGAAAATTACACAGTGACAACCTTTACTCTTTGTGTCCTTCATTTAATATTATTCCAATTATCAATAAGAGTCAATTGAATAAAAATTTTCTTGGATATTATCCATCGTCTAGTAAATATAAAACGTAAAACGACGTTTCGGAGATGAGACTCTATCTCCTTCTTCAGGTTCCTACACAGTTGGGCCCACTAGATAGGAACCTGAAGACGGAGATAGAGTCCCATCTCCGAAACGTCGTTTTACGTATTATATTTACTAGACGATGGATAATATCCAAGAAAATTTTTATTCAATTGACTCTTCACCATCGTCAAGAAGTTTTAGATTTGATATACCAATAAGAGATTTTATACAGCAACCATTCATCAAAATGGCCGCTGTTACTTACACACAAAATGGCTACGCTCATATATTTTTCCCTTGGCAAAAACTATGTGTTCAGTTCATCATAACTTTTGTTAATTAATTTGCTAATAACAAATTAGAAGTACAAATTACGACGTTTCTGCAGGTAGCGAAATATTAATTGTTATTTCCTTATAGTTCGTGTATGTTTATTAATACAGTACTCTGTCATACCGATACATAATTCTCATATTTATAATAACATTTCTTTAAACTCCATTTATCATTTTTACTTGAGATATTGAAAAATACTTCAACTGCTCTTTAGTTACCAACTTTCACGTTATTTACAGTCTATTGTCCAGTAATAATTCTAATATTTAACCAGGAATCAACCAACATTTTACTTGCAAACTGCTTTCGTTCGTACTTACATTTATGACAACTCCTGATGTGACACTCATTACAACGAGTATGGAACAAATTAACCAGCCGATAAACCTACCAATAGACTGATAATTCATCTGTCCATAATGTGTTATCGGCCGTGATATTTGATAGTCAGAGTGGTAATATTATCTCAATAAGATAGCACAGTATTATCGTAAAGATCTTCAACGTTCGGAATGCATTAAATGGATTTACCCTGCAGATGAACATTTTACGGACACTTTAAGCGAACGGATGTACGGATGTCATATGTCTGTCTGTCTGTCCCTACGCGTGTTAAATTTTCGAAACTTATGGACGATTTTCGACTAGGCCTGAACACTAACATTTACTTCGTTAATTTAATTGTGTGTATCAGTCTAATGTAACGGCAACCTCACACGAAACTGATCATCATATTGAAAGTTATCACGTGACAACAGGCATAGATCCCATTAAAAAAATTCGAATTTAATCTTAAGACACATTTTTAATATTGTCCTGTTAACAGTGTATCGGTTATCGGTAGATTTTCTTCGTTAATCGTTTCCCGACTAAGATTTTTCACGAAATTTACAATCATTCCCACGCGTGCTACATGTCTCACCTATCTCATCCTCCTTGATTTGATCTATAAAATTATATTTCTTAAAGAATACAGATTATGAAGGATCAATGCTATATTTCCATCTCTCACAGCAATTGGTGGCTTATTATTATAGTTAATTATTAATTGAAGGCATGTTGACAGATACAGCCATTCATTTCATAATAACATATCGTATCTGAGCAGAGCCTGAATGTGACCGAAAATGGCCGAATCGTGTAAATCTGCATTCAATTATTTGTTTATTTTACTGTTGAATAATGAAACACCATTTGTTATGTGGGAATATCAGATACGCAATATGAAGCTCCTTGCTATGTAGTATTCTCTATTCTTCCCTCTTAGGCCCAAATATTCTTCTCATGACTCAGTCCTCAAACTCCGTCAATTTGTGTTCTGTCCTTAGGATCCGATACCAGAAATATAATCTTAGTGTTTCGATTCCCAAAAATTTGTTGCTCATTCTAAAGGACTCCTTTGATTGGTTGGTTTATCTTTTATGTTTAACCTTGACTAAAAATGGCGTCTGGTTTATAAGCGGTGGTGTGTCTCGATCTCGTATCGATCCTGCCGCTACTCGTCACAAGTAACAGTTGAATCGCTTGCCAGTGATGTACGAGGTGCGGTTCAGTGAAGGTCATAGTCCGCCTATACGTAGTGAAAATATGCGAAAGCCCGGCTGCATTTACTCACAGGATTTCTTTCGCACTTGCTGATGCAATTCCAGGTATGGATTTCACAAATTCGCTTACAAGTTGTTAACCTAGAAATCCTTGAACTGGGAAACGAGGGCTGTACGTAACTGACCTAATCAATACCTTGTCGTGTGCATGTTTGTGTCAATTATGATTTTTTTATAACCTCGCCAGAGTAATGGCGGATAATGTTAGAATACTAACAGGTTTGAAGTGGATTCTATTAGGAATTAAATTACAAGTGACTGGTCTGAGGTCCGTATATCGAATCCCGTTGTTGTCTATACTGAAAACGGTTGGAAAGGTGTACTCGTAGATTAAACTGACATTATGCGTTCACCTGAATAGTATTTAACAAATAGCACACATTACGAAATTCTGTCATTTGTTGCCTGCCGCAATGTAAGGACTCGTGACTCGAAATTTTCGAAAAAGCTTTCCATTAAAATGTCAAAACCGAACGATATTTCAGATTTTAATTTTTAACAATGTTCATAGAGGCTTTTTTTGTATAGTACCGTAACGAGAAAACGAAACACTAACGACAAATGCGTAGGAGAATGTTGCTTATACAAAGTCACACCTTCCAGGAACAGGTTCTTCTTAAACATCGAGATACTATTTTATTCTACACAGTTTAATATACAGAGGTTGACTTAAAAATTATCCAAAGCCGCTTTCTGATGCACTTTCATTGGTCGTGCAAAATGATTACAACATTCTTTATTCGACGCCAAGAAATATAAACAATCGATGTTTGGATGTTAAATAAACAAGAAATAAAACAGTATGTATTTGTAGTTGTTACTATCCTAAAGATTTTCTCCATTGACTTGAGTCAGTTTTCTAAAATTATCACGCAAGGACACGATTTGAGGCCAATGTTTGAACCACGTTTCAACTATCGCGTTTTCTCAATAACTTGGCGCTCCCTTCGATGTAAAATCAGTGACAATAATCGATAGTCATATAACGATCATAACCTCAAAGTAAATTGTTGGCAGCACGATTCGGGACAATTATATTACGCACACATTTTTCCAAAAGAAGGACTTGTTATTGTTAGCTCAGCACGGAAACGATAAACTGTGGCCACAAATTGTTTTTGATTTCAAGTTAAATAACGAATTACGTAGTCATACGAAAAGTAAATAAACGATTATTAACGCAATTGTTAAAAGCAGAATTAATTGAAATTAAACACGTATTACGAATACAATATTTAATGTAATATTTTTGTTTAATCCGAAACTAGGTGGTAGGTTGGTTTTTGCATTTTCATACTGAAAATCTTATTTCTATCTTGCGTAAACAGTATGTACTGCGTCTTTGAAATCATTACCAGAAGTTTCATATGCACGTCGGTTCGATTCTCAACTGTCATGTAGCTAGGAACAGAAATTCGTAACGATTTGAACAGACATAAAATACGATTACAGTTTCGCATTCGATGTCTTATGCCGGTGTTATCAATGGAAGAAAATTCCTCTTCGTGAAAGTATTTCAAAATGAGCAGTTTTGTGTTCGTGTTTTAATAATTCGTAGAAACTTTATTTATTGTTAATGTAATCTGCTTACATGTTTATGAAAGGCTTACACAAGGCCTATTTCATTTGATTCAACTCAACAACAGCTGGCTATAAATCAAAACGCGACGATTAACATAAGAGATGGAAGGTACATTTGCGAATAAGGAAGAAATTTCAGAAGTCAGGGGTCTGAACAGAACCTAAACTCACATTACACAGGTTTTACGCTTATTTAAATAAGATTGTATAATTATTCTGCTTACTAAGTACCACGTAGCATGCTTCTGAATCACACGAAGACGAGTTAAGGTCGAAACATGTGAGGTACTCAATAACACTTATAAGGATCATTTGATTTAATTACGGTTATGTACAACTTGAGTGTCAGAGGTCGAATGTTATAAATAATTTATAATATATTGTGGAAAGGTGGGAGAATCGCATGTTTGAGTGTAGACCCTATCCAATCCCACTTATCCACGGGCTACTTGAAAATCCCTCTGACGTCATCAGAAAGACCTGTGACATTACAGCTCAGATTTAAGTGCAAAATACAAAATGCTGGAGACTAGGCTACTATACCTCGTAACATGTATTAAAAAATGTAATGTATTTCAGATATAGCTGCTGGGCAAGGTTTGTCTCGGGTACATTGAAGTAAATAACCTGTAAAACAGTAAATAAATGGAATAATTCAATTCAATTCATTTATTTAAGTGCTTGGCAACAGCCAAGCACTAATCCAGAGTACAAGATAAAATATAATAAGTAATTAATTTATTTCAATAATAATAAAAGTAAAACAAAAAATGAAACTAAATATATAAATGTACCATATTATATAATAATAATAATATGCTTGTAAAATAGGCGAGAAATTTTTGTGGGTGGAATGCTATCCTTTTTAAATAAAACAGACACATAAGTTCTGTAATTTCTTGCAGTAACAGTTTGTAAGCCTTTTTAAGCTTTCTCTGAAAATAGAACGCGTCATGTTGATTCAAGGCCCTCTGAGCAAGTCTGTTAAGTCTTCTTTGCACAGGTTATTATAACTGTGAGATAAATGGAAGTAATGTTTCGTGTGATTTTATTGTATTATTTCTTCAGGTCGAGTTTCAAAATGGAACAGTGAATGCGGGTGGGCGCCATGTTGAACAGTCGTCATCAGTACGCCAGGGTGACGTCAGCTAATGCAGCAAAATACAATCCCTCGACGTCACTCATCATGAAAAAGAAGAACTTACTCAGCAGAAGACGGAAATCAGATCGGAACCGAAGAGAAACATTTAACAGAGAATTATTATAACAATGAAACGAAATTTATCTCCATTTTGCCTTGCCTTTTGCGCCACGGGCATCGGCTAAGGAATCCGATTTCAATATTTTAACGAAACAAACTACGTTTTCTTGTTTTCACAAGCCACTCTTAAAAAACCATCCATAAACTTGAGGAAAAGAAGGGAATATTTACATTAATTAAAGCATAATTTTATATCAAATGTGTATTATATTATATGTTATATACATGCATACATTACTTTGTGAAAGTGCGTTGCTGTGATTCGTCTTCGATTACTCCAGACGGTTAATTCATTTACTGAGTAAAACGTCACGTAGTTATATTATTGACTTTAATTACGAAGGGCAGTGAAATTTCAAGACAGATTCTGTTTCTCGAGAAAAACGAAAGGTAATCAGTGCGAAACTTTTAACTTACACATCACGTGGGCACAGACAATTTGGCATCTGCCAGGATAAGTTGAGTTTCTCGCGCGAGTTATGGCTTCGTCTACTTGCGTCAGGAAGTCTCTGTTGTCACTCAGCAGCTGGAAACACAATAATGGCGGCCCCTCGCCTTCAGCCGTTCCACCGTCGAAGGAACGTAGCGACAGTAACGCCAGCTGTCAGACGACCTCGGCACTTGCTCTGGCCACCTCCAACATGGTCGACTTCTGGAACCGCGTCTCTCAGCAGATGGCGTACATAGATGGCAGCACTGGCAGTCCATCGCTAATAGATGGCGGCAGTACACGAAGCTCTCTGCCCAACGAGTGTTTACGAGACTCTTTGGTGCCCAGCGCCGATAATCGCAGTTCGTCACTCCTAGACGAACAGAACCTCAGGAGCGATTCGGTCCTTGAAGAGATCTATTGCGAACGCAGTGCGTCAGTCCTAGACGACGGAAACAGTCACAGCGTATCTCTACTAGACGGTGGCAACGATCTGATAAGCTCTTCTATTCGTGAAGACGTAATCGGCCCGCTCCGTTCGTCAGATATATCCCATGTCGAGGTGAAGAAACCTTTCAAACAAAGACGTCCCACTGAAATTACCTCCCCTCTGTCGTACAAATCCTGCTCAGGGTCTCGCCACACTGCGACTACCTGCTCCTTAGAAACCTCCCCAACACTGTCCCCAACAAGGCTGCACAGGGTCCACAGTTCGACCCTTCATCGCCACATCAACCCCCAGACGACACCTCACATATCCTTCCAGAAAGAGGCGAGTGTAGTGACTGGGGATCAGGAGAAGAGAAGCCGAAACAAGCCGTGGTACCGGAGGGCGTCTTCAGCGGACAAACAGCCGAAGAACAGTGCCAGCCTCGACAGCAATCAAACCGACGAAGACCAAAGCGCGATCTGGCACCACGTGTTCAGGGAAGTTGAATCTGTGTACGCTAAGGACGGCGAGCGAAGTGAAACGAGCTACAAAAACTATTTCAATGACGATGATGATTATTATTATTATGATGACGACTACGCGAAGGACGGGATGGAGCTGGAATTGCTACAGCCGACGGCGGATTCTGGTTCTGGCAAGGCACGGCCACTCGGTGGCACGGCCGTCATCCCCAGCTCTGCCACGTCAACCTCTGTAGTAATGGAGACCGCGTCCATCGGTGGGGGCAGGGTGACTACAAGAACGAGACTGCGCAGGTACCAGCAACAATTCAGCTTCTGCGCAGGAGACAGGAGAATGTCTGTAAGTGGAGACGTTCTTGTAACTTTTGAAAACGAATGCAACCTAAAAGCATTTAAACCCAGAAGAGGTTCAGGTTAATTACCAAAGCTGGAAAGTATCATGACGAAATATACAGGTCCATTTCTGAGCGATTTCATTAATCGTGTTCACTCTTTGCGTTTATTTTATAACATTTCGATTAATTTTGTAATGTTATCCAAACTGGGGTTTCAAAAGCCAGATATAACGCCCGTTAAACGTGCAGTTTACGTAAAATCCTGAATAATCTGTGTGACAGACAGTTCTGCTGCCACGAGAGGAATGTGTGACGAACACGTCCACACACGACTCAAGAGTTCGCCATGTGTTCACGTTCGTTTCCTTCGAAGCAGATCATCTGGAGCGAATACAAGCCAAAAGTTACCATTCTCAGTTACGAAGAGTTTTGACGAGGGTTTAAAAAAAATGGATGTCAGGTTTTTGAACCTTGTCCATCGTCTGATTTTTTTTAAACATGCACCGTTTCTGGAGCGGGGTGTGTCTACGTTTTGGGGTCCGTTAGAATAAGCTAATTCCTATAGGTGCCCCAAAGACATAGATATATGCAGTTCTAAAAACGTTTCTTCAGCATCAGACGACGGACGAGGTACAAACACCCATCAGTCCGGTTAGCCTGCTGTTGGCGCACAGTTGCATGAATTCTGTTTTGCAGCAACCTTTCGACATGTACAGCTGCGTTACCAAGAAGGCGAGCAGCTGGGAGGAGAGTGAGGCCGTACAGCGTCGTCGAAGCGTCATGATGGCTATAAGCGGCATGGAACACCTACACCAAGTCCATCTACCGACAGCAAACTGTACTCTTGCGACGTCTTGTCCCGGCACCGCTGGTCTGCTGATGCTTCAACCCACCTCATCGGAGTTGCAGCTGCTCGATAAAAGAGACCTCCGCTATTACTTCCAGCATCCCTACCCGCGACTTTTCGTCACGTATTTCGTCATTTTCTGCAATTTCTTGCTGTTCGCCGAGGACCCTATCTCACACAGCCACACTGGTACGTGATGTAAACGAGATTTGAGATTCTCAGGGCAATGACTCTGGCTTGTAACGTCGTGGACACTTCTAGGTCGATATTAACATTTCTAAGGGACGTACTGCCTCCATTTTCTGGGCTGATGTCTGTCTACACGGTGTTAAAGCCCACATTTGTTTTCTCTTGCAGAGTCAGACATCCCGATGGTGGGTAATGTTTTCAGCTTTGTCCTGACGAAGTACCCTCCCGAATGGCGCTGGTCTCTTATAAAGGTACGGAGTTTACGTGAGAAAGAGATTATCTCAGAATGTGGCAGATAATACGAAATTATTGCACGCGAGAGTTAAAAAAGTCCCTGGCTTACGAGGTGCGATCGGAAAGTTTCAAGACTGTGTCAATAGGGGGCGAACCGGACGTAGTACGAGCTTCTGCCGCTAGGGTGTGCGGCCTACATTCATAGTGAATCAGTGTGCCAGCCGGCATCATCGAATTAGCATTTGTTTCTTAGTTACGGGCGTTTTGGTAGTGCATTACACCGACCCTCCTGCGATTTCGGAATGGCG